TGGCCATGGAAGTAATCCTACAGTAACGAAGTAAGAGTTTGAGCGTAAAGAGAGTCGAAAACAATTCTCATGGAATTTGTAAATGGATAATAGCTGTAGGTACCCAAAGCCCTAAAACATATAGGTTGCACCCATTTCACCTTGCACCCATCCAAGCTCCAAGTCCTCAGCAACACTCTACCTGTACTGTATACCTACATTAGCACTGTAACTGTAACATTGTACATCGACACCTTTTTTTAAACTCCACATTTGTTCTCCCGTGAAGTTCAGACAAGTTGTTTAGAAACCTTCAAAAAAGGTACAGTCACTCGGTTTTTCTCAAGTTTGTCTGTCTTGGCAGATCAAGCAATGCCAGAGCAAGCTTACGAACACACAAATTTGATCAGGATCGGACGATTGGACACTTCTAAAAAGAGATCTTTCGTGCTTCCCGGAAATTCACCGGAGAACAGATGTGGGGTTTAAAAAAAGGTGTCGACATTCGCTACTCCTAAATTAAATTAAATTATATTAAATTAAAATATGAAAAGTTGTACCTTATATGAAAATCTCGTTAGGTATGTTGTACCACATCATGTGCTCTGTTCATGCCAATATATTCGATAAAGATAGATCCATTTAACGCAATCTTAAAATGCATTTTCAAAGCAAGATATTTTATGATAGCAGGTAGAAAAAAAAACATACCCAGAGTGATTGTGGCTAAAGTCTGATGGGCTTTCGAATAAGGTCGACAGGCATTATCTGAATAACATACTTATAGAGTTGTGCGAAGTGCACATAGCCTTCCTCTTTCTGCCACTTCAATGTGCTTTATGATAGAAGAATTCTAATTTCGCTTTCCATTCCAAGTTAAAATGAACTTAAGCGCATGCATCGCGCCTGTGCGCTGCCGCCCGTGCCCCCGGTCCTGGTACCCGAAGTCCGAGCCAGCAGTTCATCCTGGGGAGACCTCAGCGCTAAACCAGCTGTCGCGCCGGCGGGCCCTTTGATGTCACGTGATCCCTGGGAAGGGGTAGAACGTTTTCATACTGCACATGTGCTTCCTGTAAATACCCTCGTTTCCGAGAGTCGTTAATGAATGATGATTCAACTGCGATGTCACAAATCGCTATCGCCACATGCAGTAAGGGAAGTGAAGTGTCGACTATCACTAAAGCTGCTGTATGCTCCCGTGCCTTCCGGTCTTGAGGTCATGTCGGATGGGTCATCATGTCGTCTATGTACATTGTACATACCGCCCGCCGTAAAATTCTAAGGTGACATGATCTTGAGAAAGCTAAGACTGGCTCCCTGCAGCGCTCATTTAGGTAAAAACTAAAAATAATTAGCTGTGACCTGCGGGAGTGCTCCCTTCGTAGCATTTCCATTGAAAGCTGCTTTCACCCATGGTATATCAGAACTTGTGGGTATTACGTTTGTTCGGAAACAAAATTGCTCTGTTTGCTTTACAATTTGCATTGCTCAAGAGTTGGGTCGATAAAATTTCAGGAATACCTAGGTGAAGGTTGCAATGAGACATACGCTAATGCTATTGATAGCGAAGAAGGCTTTTCACCTCACTTCGAAAAGTGGCGATGGAATCAAATTTTACGCCAACTATTGGCACTTCCTTCTAAAAGTACTTCCTTCCTCAGTAACCAGTAAAACTGGTCGCTGAGTGATCTATTTTCGCTCAGCGCTTTCAATACAGATACGAACTTTATTCGTCTCTGACCTGACCACGATTGCTGTCGCACGCGATTTCGATGCATAAATCGTCATACCTTTCTCAATGGAGTTATCTCGCCTGAAGGCAGTGAAGTCACGAATCACATCAATCTAGCCCTGCCCATTACTCATCAGCAGCGATAATTTTCAGCCGTGTCCGATTAGTTGCTAATTTCGTCTGGCGAGTCAATGGCGCTATAGGATGCTCAATTTTCCTGGTGTCTCAATTCTTCCCGATTTGGTTAGAAGTCATGTTTTATGTTCATGGTTAATGCATCTCATGTCTTGAATAGGCATTATGCATTAGTGCCTCGCTGACTTCACTTGGGATTCTTTACCAGGTACTGCATGTGTTGCAATTTTAGGCACCATGGTACTTTATTGATTCTTTCTTAGCTTTGTCGAATGTCGGTCCTTATTCCGATCTCCGACCATCCCGTGTCTCTCCCTTTCCCTCTTCTCCCCTCCTTTTCCGTTTCGTTTCGTTCCGTTCCGCCGTCTTGTCGGCCGTCCTGTACCAATTTGTCGTATCCGTCCGGCCGGGTCGCGGAGGCCGCAGACGGACGGGACGGGCGGCGCGTGGCCCCCAGCCCCCCTCCCCCGCACCGCCGCTGTCGACACTCAGTGTCACATGACCGACCTCGACATGGACGAGTCGTCGGCGCCTTTGAAGTCGGCCCGCGGCCCGTCGGTCGAGCGTCGCCGCGCGTCGTCGACGTCGCGTCGCGAACGTCGCACAACGCCCGTCTGTCCGCGCCACCATCCGGAAACAATAACACCGCTTAGCTGTTGCGGGCCCATTATACGCGGCCGGCGGGGTCGGTGCGCACGGGGCTCGGATGGCTTCGGCAGGCGCCTCTCCGCGTCCCGGGAGAGCTCGGGTTCGCCGCCGGGCTCAGCAGGACTTCTCACCCTCGGCCGCCGTCATGCCAATTGGGATCGTCACATTACACCTGCACATGCCAATAGAGAGCCGAAGATAAATTTCCGAGCGGCAGCCGGCGCTGCCGGAGGGTTTCTATCGAGACCGGAGGAGCGCTTGTCACTGGCGTTTGATGTTGCCGCGCGGCGGGCGGCGCCTCCTTTGATGTGGCCCGGCGAGGAGCCGACTTATTACGGCTCGCCGCGGGTCGCCCTGTTAAACATCCTCTCCATCACGGCGAGCTGCAACCGGCGCCATGTTGCATTCCTAATCGTGTCATAAATTAGCATAATGGATGGAGATAAACTAGCCGCGGTGAAAATAAGACGCAGCGCTGGATGACCTGGTGATGTCCGGCCGAATCGCCGTGTGGTTCGACATCGACCCCAATCATTTTGCAAGGCAGCTGGAAATCGATCTGGGTGCTGTCCAACAAGGCCCAAGCTACTCGTAGCTTCAAAGCTACACTTCTGACTCAACGTGCTGGAGGCGCAAAGCTGTTAAAGCACCATGTCAGTTCTGATGAAACCAGAATCTATCACCTATGCCTGTGCTAATTAAAATCACAGCTCATCGTTGAATTACCTGAGTTGGGTGGCAGTAACTTACTAATGTAAGGGCGGCGTTGGCGGCGTAAGCGGTTGACAGAGAGGGTTAGAGAGCTAAAGATGGACGTCGGCCATGCTGACTACAGACGCGTGCCATCGGCCACCAGCCGCCCTATAGCGGTACGAATATGAAGTAAGGCGCGGCTCATATAGCCACCTCAGGTGATTGGAGCTGATAGAGATTGCACGAGCAGCTTTCTACATGGAAAATACGCTCATAATTCTGTCATCGAAAAATAGTATCCCGCCTACATGTGTAAGTACATGTAGACGCCTACTTGTAGGAGGTGTGTCTAATGGCATTTGGCATTTCTATTTTCTCAAAATGAAGTTTTAAATGGTTAAGTGCTATCATTTAGTATACATTTTCCTACTAATTCTGCATACTTTTTGCGTTGTCCGTCAGCTTTAATTATTTTTGCAATTAAAGGGACACTCCCACCTTAACATTAGTTTTGAGTTGAGATAGCCAAATTGGTGGCCATGGCCTGCAAATACCGGTTTGGGCACTCACAACATCGACAAATGCTTTAATTCGGAGATATGGAATTTCAAACTTGCAGTTTTCGGATTCTAAGGGGCTAGTGCATTGGTATGCCCCCTTAGAATTTGTGACGTCAGCAGAGATCTAACGATTTTAAATCTTTTACTAAAACGTTTGGTAGCACGCGGTGGTATATGCTGCTTTGCGCGCAACAAATGCCGCACTTTCAAATAAAGTCGCTAGGAACAGCGGAGATCCCAAAAAGTAAACAAAAGTATAAGTCTAATATCTTGAAAACCGGTGAATATTTTTCGATGAAATTTGGTAGATATTCGTTTTCGCTCTTTCTGAACCGAGCGACATCACTTTCGTGCCAATTCATTAACTTTTTTGAAGGTCGGAGGGTCCCTTTAACAAAAACGTGTTCTTGATTTACATACTAGTTTACTGACATTCGGCGTCAAATGATTATAATCATTGGCAAGCTAAAAAAAAAAAGATGAACGTCCTCTCGTCGGAATTTTTAGTTTTGCTTTGCATTGGTCATACCACAAAACAGTTATTTAATTTCTTTTTTTGGCGTCTGTTATCATGATATTTTCTGTAGGAAGAAACTACCGACGAAGTAATAGACTGAAACGTCATAGAGACTGGTTACGATGGACATGAAAAATGACTTCAGTTAAATGTTTTAAATATTAACTAAAAAAAATATCATAATGTCGCATCAAAACGACCCAAAAGTCAAGGGGCTCGTCTCCATCACACTGCAGCCATTGCCAACCACATTGCATGTATACGAGTACCATTTTCAGGATGTCCTTAGCTTATAAATGACGGTTCGGTCGAGGTGTTAGCTCTGACATCAGCTTGCTGAGCAAATACGGATGATTTATGGCTACCGTGTTAATTTGGTTAATGTGTGTCTTTTCTCCATCTAATGCGATGATACAACGAAGACGCTAGAGTAATTATTGATCTGCGCTTCTCCTGGGAGGTCCACCTATTGGCAGAGCAAACAGAAGCTTAGAGAGACCTTTCGTTGACATTCTGTATTATGACCTTCGACGTGTTGAGCGAAAATGTTCGGAAACATTTGTGTTTGTTCTTGATGCTGTCTTCCAGGTCAGTTTACGGCTATAGGAAACGAACATGAATTGTCGTTTAGTGCGTAACGTTATTAACCTTTTTTACTTAATTTGATGGATCGCAAGACTCATTACAAGCTCTCCTCTTTCTTCCAGTATTTGAACTCATCATAAAACTGGTGAACTCAGGTCACATAAATAACATTTATTTACAGTATTTGTAACACAAGGGGCACCCAATCTCAGCCAGGAATGGCACACTCATCGGGGTTGGCTTACAGTGAGTGTGAACCTGTCCGCTGACCGGGCCGAGTCATAACTACATAGATCTGTCAACATAAGGCTGTCTCTTACTATCATATTATCACAATGGCTAGTAAGTTCTACATCTCCGGCAACACCGAACACAGAGACTGCACATCACTGCAGAGCCAAGGAAGACGGAGCGGGAACAGCGAGGGTCTTTGGCTTTCGGGGGTTTTCTCAAGGGAGTCTGCTGCACCGCTGAGACTTCAGCCCGAACGCCGAGCTCGGACAGCGGCGAAAACACGGAACGGAACACACAGGGATTTTCAACAGAAAGGAATAGATACACGGAGCGTCCGAGTCAACAGATATTCGCCATGAAAACATAGGAACTTAGCCGCACGTTTGACCCACACACATTCCCACCGAAGGCGCGTCGCGCCGCGCTGGCGGCCGTGCGCATCGTCCGCGCTCTGGGCACGGCCCCGGCCGATCGCCTGGACCGTCCCCAGCCGACCCGGTCACGCCACGCCAGTCGGCTCCAGCGGCACGGCGGCCGGCACGAACCGAATCGGCGACACAAAAACACGCGAGACGGCTGCATGAACTCATTTAAAGCTTTCAACAAAAACAAGTGTCCGGCGCGGCGGCGGCCGCTGACTGGTGCGCCGACTGCACGGGGCGGGCGCTGGACCGCGGCGCGTGGCTAGCTCGCGGCCAGCAGTCACATCTTGCCGCTGAGATCCTGCGGCTCGTCGAGCTTGATCGGTATACCGAGACTGGTCATGAGCAGCTTCTGGTGCTGCAGCGCCGGGCCGCCGGCGCGGGTGTTCTCCATGTCGCGTTTCAGCTCCTCCATGTCGCGTTTGAGTTTGGCGCGTCGGTTCTGGAACCAGGTGATCACCTGGGCGTTGGAGAGCCCGAGCGACTGGGCGATCTCGTCCCGGTCAGCCGGCGACAGGTACTTTTGGTAGAGGAAGCGCTTCTCCAGCTCGAAGATCTGGTGGTTGGTGAAGGCGGTACGCGACTTGCGCTTCTTCTTGACGGGCGGCCGGGCGGCGAACATGCTGGCGCCGTCACCTGCCGGAGAGGGACGGCATCGTCAGCATCACAGCGCGGGAGAGACGGGGGGACGAGAGCCGGGGGGATGAGAGACAGGGGGACATACTGGGAACGGGGCGGGCGAGCAGCAACAACAGACAACAGCGGACGGCAGGAATGCGACTTCGACGAAATGACATGTCACGGCACGGGGAAGAAAAACATGCCACCGCATTTCACTGTTAGTTCACGATGAGAAAAGACGGCTACTGTACGCTCCATTCATCATCCAAATAATTCGTAGAAGTAAAGAAGTAAAGATAATCTAGCACCATCCACTGGTTTGTAGGAATTCGGATTTTAGCAGTGGCACCAACTAACAACCCCGATCATCACACTGACACCCGATGTCGTCACGTCACATCCCCGTCAGAACGTCACACGTCACGTCTCTGTGCTCGCGCACGGCCCGCACAGCCGCGGCCGTGCCTGGCCGTAGCTGGAGGTTTATTTTCACAGGCAGCGACCACGGCCCACCGCCGCTGCCCGTCGCCTCCAGGCCGACCTGCAGCGACGACATGCCACTGCAGAACGACACTGGACGCTCATCAATCCTGCTAAATATGTTTGGGATCTGTGACGGCGCTGTCCGGTGGCCGTCCGGCGCAGCAGCCAGCGCCGCGGCCCTGTTTACGGCTCTAATCACGGTGTGATATACAGTGCATTTGTCACGGCCCTGCCGGCCGGAAGGGCAGGGCGACCTCCGGTGGACGATGGTGATCAGCACAGATCAGCGGTCAGCGATCACCAGATCAGCACAGATCAGTGGTCAGCGATCACCAGATCAGCACAGATCAGCGGCCAGACGTCACCAGAGCGCTGACTGACCAGCAGTCATCAGATCATCAGCGCCCAGATCCCCTCTGTACTATGTAGACCAGTGCGTCTGGTAAGCAGACCAAGCACTGATTAGGCCAGAGCAGTTCACTGAAACTGACCGGCTTCCCTGTCTACTGTAATAAACATCTCCTTTTTGTTCGGGAAGCAAATCTCTTTATGTCCTTAGAAAGGGCACAATTCCAGGTCAAACTAGTGTGCTGTTTGTTTGTTGAAAACAGCGCTTCTTCTATCTGTAGGCTCGCATCATCTGCTGTGTGTCTGTTCACGTTTACATCTACTGACACTTTCTCCCAGTCAGACTGTGAACGTCACTCCAGTCTTTTCAGGACCCCCCGCCCCGCCCCTGGCATCTTCATCTCGGTGAGGGTCGCACTTCTCGTGTCTTCATCGCGCCGCCCCGTCCCAGCCGGTGTGACAAATGGCCGATCATAAGCGGCGGGCCGGCCGCGTCCCAGCACAGTCGGCGCCGATTAGTTTTATGTGGTAATCAGCAGCCTTTGTGGTGCGGCCGGGCGGCGCGGCGGCACCCCGCTGCGCCACGATCGCCGACAATGGGTGTCACCGGCCGCCCGGACGGCGCATTAGTAAGTGACTCCGCGGACCGAGACGGCGGCGAGCCGGCACACCGGTCACCGGAGGAGAGGAGAGGAGAGGAGAGGAGGGATCCGGGGCTGGTCAGGGGTATTGTGGAACAGCGGGGTGCCTGTTAGCGCCGCCCGTCAGGACGAGGTCGCTAATCACGCCAGATGAGGCCATCCATCGGTTCTGCGGGCCTCCCGGCCGCGTGGCGGGGTGGCTGGGGAGAGGACGGGGCGGCTGGGGTCTGGGGAGGGGTCGGCTGGCGGTCAGCCGCCGCTGTGAGACGTCTCAGGCGCACAGGCGCTGATACGGAGTCACAACCGTGCAGCGGCCGGCTCCCGGAGTTGAGCGCGCCGCGCTAATTCGGCCTCCCGGGGGACGCGGTCTGCGCCGCCGGCGGATCGGTGACCGCTGCGATTTGTCAGCCCGTCTCTCGGTGATGTCAATGTTTCTGGCCGCCGGCGGCACCATCGATCATGTCTCGGCCAGGTCAGCGGAGAGCACGCAGCAGCGTAAGGAGAGCGGCAGTGGCCCCCGTCTGTTTATAATCCGAACGGCGAGCCGGACGATAATTGGACCCCCTGCCGGCCATGGCCACCCGAGGCTAAATAAATGATAGCAGTCCAACATAATTTACCACTCGTCCCATGCACCGGCGATAATCTATAACATAGCGTCTCTAGGTCAATGATGTGCCCCCCGTAATCTGGTGCAATGCATTCGAGGAACTAGCCGGGCGAATGATTTGGATAAGACTTTTGCAACATGAGCTATCGGCTGTCAGAAGCCCAGATTCCAATGCAGACTGATCCACGTCGTTGATACACTATCAATGCAATAATTACGGCCAGATATTACTTCATTATTTGAAATGTGGTTTCTTATTAAGACGAGCTGTCAGCATAAGAGTCCAATGACTTTGCCACCTTATTTGTGAATAAACTAATTAATAATATGTCATTCACAGGGCAATGAATTGTGAAAAGTTATTAGTTAATAATGGAACACATTTAGCGCATCAAACCATAAATAAATTCTCAACACGCCTAAAATTCAGCAGTGGCGAGAAATACGCTTGAGAGCATGTCACCTATGATCAGTTTTGGTATTTATACGTCGAATTGAGACGAATCTAAGACGAATCTTCCTAAGAGAAGGTGCATGGGGCAACTGACAGGAGTGGACCAGCCATCCAGTCCATCTCAAACTCAAACTACCTACCAAATCTCCACTACTTCAGAACAGCGACATTTCTCGAACAGCGACATTTCTCAACCATCTCTTCAATTTCTGTTTGCGTCAGCGCGTCATCTGTGCATGAGATAGATTATTCAGCATACGCCGGTGCCGGTGCCGGTGCCGATGACGTTGACGGGTGACGTCAGTCTGACGGCGGTGATGGCGGCGGCGGTGGTTCTCGACCGTCCCAATCGGTGTGTGAAGCCGTCAGCGGACGGCTCACCGCACTTCACACCCGGGCCGGGCGGTAATGAGTGTCGCCGCCGGTCTAATCACACCCGTCCGACCACGGACGGACTCACCGCCGGCAGCTGCCGCACCCAGAATGGACGGGGAGGTGTGCGGTGAACTCACAACGTCTGTAATGGTGAGCGCCGCCACTTAGCCCGGCAATGAGACGGGTTTTAGCGAGACCCAGCCGCCGACCGCTGGATGCCAATGGCGCACAAACGATAGTGAACTAACAGGGTACAGAAAGGAAGGGGCCAATGCCGGAAACGATTACTGTGTGGGCTAATGCTGTGTTTGATCTGTTAATGTTTCTGAATGGGCTTAATGGTTTTCACGGCCCCTGGTCGCTGACAGGAGGGCTGGCCACGTTTGGCATATGGTAAACACGTGTACGCCGGAGTATTATGTAGTCAAACGATTCGAAGCTATTAGCAGAAATCATTAAAGCGATAGAGAACAGACGCATCTCAAACGGTGATCTCTGGACTGCTAATTGACCGAGGTCTAATGAGGCTGTTAATTGACTGTCGCGCAGTGTGGGGACTCGTCACAGAGTGACGCCATGTGATCTCGGGTCTTGCCCCCTCCCCCTGGCTGTCTGCAGGGGAGGGGGGAGGTGTCCCGTCGTCAGTCGGGTGGTCCTCGCCGGCAGTCTATCTGCCCCCAGTCCCCACCGACCTCCGTACGGCGCCTGCTGACCGCTCTCACAGACAGTGGCACCACCAGCGGTCAATTTAGCGATCAACCCTGGAGCAATTAGGGGCCACCGGGTGCGTCTCGGCGCCGCCGCCGACCGCTCACCCAGCACGGGTAAGACCAGAAACCGGCCGGCCGACGACACCTCAAAATATTTGGCCGTCTCTTGTCTGCAGCGCCGCGCTCTGTGTATCATTGGGTGGCGTTTCTGCAGTGGCCGCGCCGGTCGACAGGCAGGCACTCTGCCGTCGCCTCCGACCCTGGTTGTCGTCAGTTGATAGCGCCTATCGCCGCCGAGACGGGCGCACGAGCGGCGCCGCCGGCTCGCGCCTCGCGCCGGCAAACAGCTCGTTACACGGCGACCTGGTGATAGCCCGGCGCTACTGAAGTCCAAATTGGCGACCGGAGGGCGATAGTGGCCACTTCTCCGGAACGGCGCCGCCACCGTAAACACAGAGCCACTTGCAGAAGCCAATTAGGCTAAAAAGATTGTGATATTTCATAAGCATGTTTGGCTAAGATCAGAAAGAGCACTGAATCATAGCAAATGATGCAATGCGGAAAAACGTTTCATTTGACGGTAGTCTTTATCGAGTGTGCATGCCAATTTCAGTTGGAGGCTAGAGATAATAGTGAAACACCATACCCTGATGATCGAACATTTTCGGAGAGTGATATAATCAACAGGCACTAGGTCTTGGATGCTGCGGGAGCATACCCCCCCCCCAAAAAAAATATCCACATTCCCCAAAATAAATCGGATTTCGATCCCATGTGCAGCGCTGTGCAGTTTAAAAGCTACTTTTAATGGTAAAAGTTATTTAACTTTCTATTTGTTCTCGAAAACCCCTAAATTTCCGCCAATTTATTTTCCCCAAACGCTCCCCCCCCCCCTGGATCCACCAGTGGTCCACTGAAGCTCGCCTTTCAAAGGATATTACAGCTACCGCATCGAGTCAGCATGGTTTTTTTTGTGTTTGGTCTATTCAAGATCATAAGGACTGTCGAATATAGCAATTTAGACATCACCAAAAAGCACATTTAGCAGTCTCATATGGTGCAGCTTGAATTCAATTTCATCGCATAGCTCGGCTCTACCATGTTGGTTGCTGATGTTTCGGCTATTGTTTTAGATTTTGCTTGCTAACGGATCAGGCTCCCACATTCCGTGTACTGCGATGTCCCAAACTCAACTAAACGTCGTGCTGCACCGTCTTCGCACATTGCTATGCACACCAAGTTGTATGTACATCTGCATGTAGCCTGTAGGTGCACTTTCGGCACATTCAAATCGATCTGTAGCAGCATTCAAAATAATAGCTAATCCTCAACCAACCTGATTGTTATGTTGCCACCTATGAATACGTTCTAACTTTGTTTATAATGCACTCACA